TAGATACATGGTTTCTCACCATTATATTCTTGCAACTTTACAATGAGTTTGAAAGTTTTTATAGTAAGATGTTAGAAAAAGATCATACTGAAAAATATGGAAGGTGCTCAATACACCTTACTTTACCTCTTACAGCTTTTCCTATAGCTTTCATGCATTTACTCATTCATCTACTAAATCATACTAGGTCATACTGGGACATTGCCTAGCACAATGTTGTTCAACTCCAACCCCTCTGAACTTCAGTTTCCTCACCTACAGTATAATTGTATGTACCTCATGGTGAGAATGGGTGAGGTAATATATAACACAACCCAGTGCCTGGCACATAAGCAATATTCCATAAACACTAGCTGCTGGTATGTGTCACACAGTGGAGAACATGGGCACTACCACACACATTCCAAGTAGTGCTTAAAAGACCTCTATCCCAACTTCATACATGGCTTCCAAATCCAACCCTTTGTGGTTTTAGGCAAAATCTTTAACCTTTCTGTGCCTCATTTTCTCATCTGTGAAACAAGATTATGTGCTATTCTCACAGCATTATTATGATAAACAATAATAAATGTAAAGTGTTTAGGTGATAGCTAGAATGTTAAGCACTGATGTTAAGAAATTCTGGGCACCAGAGGACAAAAAGATGAATGTAAACATCTCAGTCACGTCAGGATAGGAGATGGCCATGTTGGTTAGTCATGGTTTTTACCTGTCACCTATGGTGTGTGCTCCAGGAGAGGCACTATACTAGGTTTGGAAAACTCAAGGGAGAGGCATATGGGGTAAAGAAGGCCAGAATCAGGAATGGTGGCACACACCTGTAATCCTAACACTTCAGAAGTAGAAGCATGAGTTCAAGGTCAGCCTAGGCTATACAGTGAGTTTGAGGCCAAAGATGGTTACATGAAATTATGCTTAAAAAACCCCAAAGATGGGGGGTTGGTGAAAGAGCCAAAGAATACTTCACAGGGAGGATGGTGATTGGAGAACCAGGGCTTGCAGGATGGCATGACAATAGCTCTTAGAACCTCACAAGCCAAGGTGGGCTATCAGATTCACTGCTGACAAGAGGAGTGGGTCAAAGCTCAACTGATATACTGATGAGCTTTGCCCTGAAAAACTAATTGGAAAGAACGACCATTGATTAAAACACTCTGGATGTGGTATTTCCCTCTGTATGCTGTGATTACCATTAATAAATAAAGAAACTGCTTTGGACCTATAGCCGGGCAGAACTTAGGTAGGCAAGGAAGATGGACGTAAATGCTGGGAGAAAGGAGGCGGAGTCAGAGAGAAGCCATGTAGCCCCTCCAGAGCCAGATGGAACTTTAGCCAGTAAGCCACAGCAATGTGGCGATACACAGATTAATAGAAGTGGGTTAAATTAATACGTAAGAGTTAGCCATTAAGAAGCTAGAGCTAATGGGCCAAGCAGTGATTTAATTAATACAGTTTCTGTGTGATTATTTCAGGGGTCTGGGTGGCCAGGAAATGAACAAGCAGGCAAGCAGCCTCCTTCAACAACACTTAACAGAACTGCAAACTATGTCAATCAGTGATGGATTCTTGATTTTTCTTCCTGCTTCAGCTTCTAAAGTATGGAGTGCTAGGATTACAGAATGGGTCTTAATACCTGTCTCTGACTGTATCCATGATTTTGAAAATTTGTAACATCCATGTTTTCTAACTCAAGATATGAGGGCATAGCTTTACTAGATGAAAAGGTCCAGAAGACTCCAACAGAAGGGCCCAGGAAGAGGCTATTAGTGCTGTGGAATCGGGTTGGCAGTACTACTCTAGTTGGTTCACTGCTTTGAGTGAGGTCACAGCTTGGAATCTGACCCAGGAGATTTAATCCAGGAAGAGAGAAATGTCCACACAGCAACAGGGAGAAGCTGGCTCCCTCTGGATGCTGTCAGCTGGCCACACTGCCTCTTAGACCTCGCTGGACCTTAGTAAACACATTTTGGATTGTCATATGCACTGAGCAAATCCACTAATATCTTTAACATCATAGTCTGAAGGGAGCAGTCAGGATAAGGGCTGGTTTTATGATCAAAGAACCAAATGTTGCTTCAAAATTATATAACTCAGACTATACATGAAAGGATCTTTCCAATGTTCCTAGAAGGAAGTTAAAACAATAGTTCATTTTAGTATTAAATAAAAAACACATTTATAGCCATCCAGGGCACTTCTAAGGAAGGCAGATGAGCTGGCTGATACAAGTTAGGAGGAACAGTTTCATTGCTTGTGAACCCCATGAGGACAGGACTATGACGAGCTTACTTGCTGCTGTATTAACAGGACCTAACACAGTGCCTGGCATGGAACTATAGCTCACAAAACACCAATTCAACCAAGTATGTCTAATTCAGCTTTCTTAAGTCCAGATTCTTTTCTTTTAGTTCAGCAAGAGATTAATCAAGTCACAACTACGTAGGGAAGAACTGGCTAAACAAGTAAACTCAAGGAAACAAAGTAGACCCCTCAACTATGAGAGGAGATATGATTTCTTGGAGCCTCATTGTTATGTCACTTACCCAGAACCTCTGGGAAACAGAATTTCTGCTAGGCTGCTGCCTCAGAAACAAATTCAAAACGCCTTAAGATCTTCAACCTGTATATCTAGCATGCTCAACTTCACAGAAGCCAGAATGTTTGCCCTGGGTCTGACTTTTCTCTTCTCATGGATAAACCAGATGTTCTGATAGACCCCTCTTCCCCAAATCCAAGACTCCACACAGACTCCTAGGCTGCTCTCCATCTAGACCATGACGTAAATATTTTATAGACCCCTGGCTTTTCAGATTTTTCTATATATAGTGATTTAGTTTAGTTACTTCCCAACAGCAAAGGAGGGACTTCCTAAGCTTCCAGAAGACAGTGTCTTGTCACTTCTGCATGAATATGCTCTAGTTTTCAAGTCATCTTGATCTCAGCAGCAAACACAATATTCAGAGAATTCCATGAAGCTGAAAGAGGTCTTGGAACTCACGGTTCTGTGTAAGTGTGGCTTGGAATTTTTTTCTATTAGGTGCATTATCTTATAATGACTAAATTCATGATCACTTTGCTCTATAAAATATTTAGAGATATTTCTTATCAGCATGGCTTTTCATTACTAACCCTTTAAAAGGGTCTAGAAAATGAAATGGGTTAGAAATGAGCCTAGAGGCAAGTCCATGGAAAGTTACTGGTAGCATCTACTGTTACTGACAAGGATTCAGTCCTAAACTTTCTTTCATATTCTTCAGCCAGTTTCTACTAAGGACCAAACAGGTCCTCTAACCTCATAATAAATTTTCACTTAAAAGATGAAGAAGACAAAGACACAGAACTTTTACTTAAAAAAATCTTATATAGGCTTCTTTTTTCTAAACTTTTTTGATCAAATTTTAGGCCTTTTGAAAGTTACAATAGTTCCATTTCCATACATTCCTGTTGTAGCCTCCCCAATGTTAGTATCTAATATAGTACAGTATATTTAACAGAGCAATTATAGCACAAGGACACTTACTCAACTATGTCTAAAACTATTTTATTCCTAATAGCCAGAAACTGAAAATAACCTAGATATCCCTAAACCAAAGAATGGATAAAGAAAATGTTCATTTTTTAAAAAAAAAAAGAAAGAAAATGTTCATTTATACAATGGCAGTTGTTAAAAATAATGGCATCATGAAATTTGCAGGCAAATGGATAAAATGAGAGGAAAAAAAAATCACACCGAGTGAGGTAACCCAAATCCAGAAAGAGAAACATAATATGTACTCACTTATAAATAGATATTAGCTGTAAAGTAAAAAATAACAATGCTACAATCCACAAACCTAGAAAGGCTAAGTAATGAGGGCTTATGGGTGATGTAAGGATATCTCTGGGAAGGAGAAATAGAACAGATGTCCATGGTGGACTGGGTGCAGGTGGGATTGGGAACAGGAGGGATCAGGTGAGCTGGGAGAAAATACTGATAGAAACAACTGGAATTGGGGGAGCATTTTAGGGGCAAGGTAGAAACCTAGTGCAAGGAAAGTTCCATGGAATCTACCAGAGTAAACCTAGCCAAGACTCCTAGGGGACATGGAGCCTGATCTGGCCATTTTCTGTAACCAGGCAAGGCTTCAAGTGGAGATACTGGGACACCAACTGAGCCACAAAACCTTTGACCTATACTTTGTCCTGCCTGCAGAGTGTTCTGGGACCAGAGCCTAGCAGAACCATCATAAAAGAGACCAGAGAGACTTCATGCAGCAACTGATGGGAGCAGAGGCAGAGCCCCACCCCCAAATATTAGGAGGAGCTTGGGGAGTTCTGCAAAGAACGGGGAGGAAAGATCGGAGGAACCAGAGGATCAGGGACACCACAAGAACAGGGCCCATAGAATCAACTGATCAGGACTCATGGGAACCAGTAGGGGTCTGACTTAGGTCCTCTGCATATATGTTATGACTGAGTAGTTTGTTGTTCTTGTGGGATTCCTAATAGTGGCAACAGGAGTTGTCTCTGACTCTTTTGCCTGCTTGTGGGTCCCTTTTACCCCTACTGGGTTGCCACATCCAGTTTTGATGCGATGGTATGTGTCTGATCTTAGTCTAGCTTGTTATTCTGTGTTTGGTTGATGTCCCTGGAAGACTTGTACTTTTCTGAGGAGAATGGGAGTGGGGTGATGGTGGAGCAGGAGCAGAGGGGAGATGGGAGGGAGAGACTTGGGGGAGGGGAGGGAGTGGAAACTGCAGTCGAAATGTAATATGTGAGAGAATAAAAATTTTTAAAAATAAAAATAAAAAATAACCAATAGCTATGCATACTGCACTTGGAGGGAGGAGGAGGCTAAAGCTACATGAAACTTACCACCACTACTATCACCCCACCATAAAATAAAACTTTTTAATTAAAAAAATGTTTCACAGTAATAAAAACTAAATATGGCTGTAACAACTCAGGCATTACAGTCTTGTAATTGACATAGTAAGAATTTTGTTAAAATATAGACATACTTCTTGTCCTTGGGAAAAACATTTTTCTCACTTCATCATCCTTTCTAGGTTCCCCTTCATTTTTCTGCAGTCCTGTGGCATCTTTAAAGAGTCATTTATTGCTTCTGCAGTTGCAATTCAGTCCTGTAAAAGAAGTATCACACCATCACCTCATGAGAAAAGAAATCACATTTTAGGAAGCCCAGTTATCTAGTTTCGTTAATCCTTCCTAATTCATTTTCACAGCTCTACTAGGCATGTATAGCTATACTAGGCATGCAGAGAAAAGTGAGAAGATTTACAAGTACTTCAGGGACACTGATGTGAGCTCTGCCCTCTAAGAGCAGAGGCTGGAGCATGTGAACACATTAGTGTTCTCAGTCATCAACACAGGTGATTCATATAAATCTCTGCATCTCCCTGTTCAGTTAAGCTTCAGGTGGCTTGGCAGCAATACTGCATCAGCTGATTAGCATGTGGCTTGACACACACCCCAAGGATGTGCTAATTGTTATGTTCTTCCTTCAAAGCCCTGGGGTTTTTCTGGTATAGACTAGAGACACATGAATGCACACATGTATTCATACACATTCTAGGTTAAGCAACTCTTTTCTCTTTCTCCTCCCCTCTGATCCATGTATCTACATCACTCCATTTTGCCCAGGAGCAATGTTAGGCACCTGGTAATTCTTAGTGAATAAATAAAAGAAACACTTTTCAACAAAATCCATCAAAGTGCTTTATGAGGTCTTAAAATTACTTTAAAAAGTCTTTAAAAAAAAACAGTTCTCTTGAGTTCTATACTCCTTTACCAAAATATTCTCCTCTGTTAAAATGCCAATTAGCAGTGAAATCAACGCAAAGTGAGAATACTAGTAGAAAACTTGGAATTTCCTGCAGTCACACCTTGCTACATTACCAGGGATCAGGACTGTGAACTTCTGTGACTATGAATAGGTTTGACCCTCACAAACAAATCACTAACCAAAGTAGTTACGAGTTATTACCAGCATTCTTGCATCCTTAACATGCACACATGCCTTTCCCACTCCATCAAGCCTTGTTCACAGAGCTTCATCTATGTTAGCATATACAATCTTTATCATGACCTTAGTATGAAAATCCTATTGTTCTAATTACCCAGATGATAATACTCAGGCACAGAGAAGTTGAGTAAATTATTCAAGCCATGTAGTGTGTGCTATGCCACTTTTCATAGGCATGTCTTTCTAAGAAATTTTAATTTTAATTTTCCAGTAAGTTAAAGATTCATCCCTTTTAACTTTTGTTTCCTTGCTCTGCTGGTATGTTTTCTTAAAGTAACTGTCACCAGATTTCTTTTCTTAATTTACAATTTATTAAAAACCTAATTGATAATTCTCCATCTTTTTTATTTTAAAAACTTATCCTATGGGCATCAGAAAAATAAAATCTAGGGGCTGGAGAGATGGCTCAGGGACTAAGAGCACTGGCTACTCTTAGAGATGTCCTGGGTTCAGTTCTCAGAACCCACATGGCAGCTCACAGCCATCTGTAGTTCCTGTTCCAAGGGATACAACATCTGCTCCTATGGGCATCAGGCACACATGTGGTACACAGACATACATGCAGGGAGACAAGACACTCACACATAAAATAAAAGTAAGTAATTTAAAAGAAAAAGAAAAAAGAAAATCTAATGATGATGTGGGAGAATTGTCTGTATTCTGTCAATCATATTTTAATAAAACGCTGATTGGCCAGGCAGGCAGTATAGGCGGGAACACCAGACAGGAAGTAGAGGTGATGCAATGAGAACAGGAGAATTCTAGGAAGCAGGGAGGTTCCCCTTAGCCATTCCTGCGCAGACCATTGAAGAGGCAGCATGGAACCTGCCCTGCTGAGAAAGGTATGGAGCCATGTGCTAACATAGATAAGGATAATGGGGTAACATAAGTTATAAGAGCTAATAAGAAGCCTGACCTAATGGGCCAATCAGTTTATAATCTTATGGAGTCTTGTGTGTGATTTTTGTTGCGAGTTGCCGAATGTGGGGTACCGGGCAGAAAAGATACCCCAACAAGCCGGCCCCCTCATGTTACATATGGCTCCAACGTGTGGACAGCTGTATCTACATAAAGCCTAAGACAGCTTGGAAAGTATTTCTAGAACAAAATAACAGCATTATGCATGGTTTCTTCGTAGCAGCAATTTCTCAGGTCTGCTCTGCTTGCTAGAGGCAAGCAAATGCTCTCGTCTAAGAGAGGCTTCCTGACTCAGCTTTAGCTGCAAAACTTTGTAGCTCATTAAGAGGTCCTGCCATGAAACACTTACACGGTGTTGGTGAAAAACTGAACACATGCTTTTCGGTTTTCAGCCGTAGAAGGAAAAAAGCTGCACTGTTTTAAAATGCCAGCTTTCTGGGCTGTCCTGCCGGGGCAATTTCTGACTCTTTCAGGCAGGCAGTCCGACTGAATATGGTCTGTGAGCCGAATGCTACAGCTTGCTTACTGGCAGGGACCTTGAACCGCCACAGATATGTGGCAATAAAAATGGCTCTTGCGATCCTCTGCCACGAGGCTGTAAAGAAATGGGCTGGATCTAGCCGTCAAAGCCATGGCTCTCCATATTGCAACCCCTAAATGGTTTACCATGTGTTAAAAATATATGCAGGCTAAAGATTAAAGTTCTTATAAATAAAAAAAGAAAAAAGGGAGTAGTTGGATATGGTGGTACACACCTTTAATCCCAATGCCTGGGAGGCAGAGGCATATTGACCTCTGTGACTTCAAGGGGTAGAGGTAGATTGACCTCTATGACTTCAAGGTGTGATAGTGCACACCTTTAATCCCAATGCCTGGGAGGCAGAGACAGACAGATCTCTGAATTCAAGGTGTGGTAGCACACGCCTTTAATCCCAGCACTGGGGAGGCAGAGACACTGAAACTCTATAAATTCAAGGACAGCCTGGTCTACAGAGTTATTCCAGGACAAAGATAGACAAAAAACCTGTCTCAAAAAGTAAAGATAAAAATAAAAAAAGAGGTTAAAATAAAGCCACATAAAAATAAAAAATACACAGAAAATCTTGATACTATATGCTATTATGCTCTCTTTGAATTGTTTAAATGCTGAGAAAGGAGCAACAGCTGCTAAAAGACTTTTGTTTATAAATGGTGCTAAATTAATCCAATATAGATATTTTAAAAATATCTTGGCTTCAAAATTGAAGTCAAAAGGTATGTTACTTTAGAGAAAAGATTCTGCTTTTGTTTCCACAGAAAACGAGAGGCTCTGGATTTATTCAAAGTTAAGAAAAATCACCTTTGACCAAGGGAGGCTACCTAAAAAATCTCCGACAGTAATAGATGGCCCAGATGTCTGAGTTCTATATCCAGAACAGATTCAAGGCTGCTGCCTGAGATGATCAAGACTCCCAGAATACTTCAGTCAGGACTTGATTATAACTCTAAATTTTCTTTAGGTCCCCATAAGACTATCAGCGCCCCCAACCAGCAGGAAGTAGCCTGAAATACTACGCCCACATTCCCAACAAATGGACTATGGGTATTTTCCTTTGTTTAAAAAAAAAAAAGGAAAATGGTGGTATAGGTGGGTCAACCAGACAGGAAGTGGAGGCAAGGCAATGAGAATAGGAGAAGGCTAGGGAGGAGGAAACTTCCTCAGCCATTCCTGCGCAGACTACCAAAGAGGCAACATGTAAGCTGTCACACTGAGAAAGGTACTGAGCCCGTGTGGCTAACATAGATCAGAATAATGGGTTAAGATAAGTCATAAGAACTAATAAGTAGCCTGACCTAATGGACCAATCAGTTTATAATCTTATGGAGTCCTGTGTGTGATTTTCCTTGGGAGTTGCCACTAAGGGCCAATCAGCTTTATAACTTAATGTAGACTCTATGTGATTTTTCTTTGGGGCTTGCCGACTGTGGGGTACCGGGCGGGAACAGAAACCCCAACAAGCCGGCCCATCATGTTACATATGGCGCCCCACATTGGGTGCCAAATAACGGCGAATCAATCCCACACCAGTTATGTTTTAAGGGGTTATTTATTTTGGGGGGTAAAACTTACATACACCATAAACCGTCAGGAAGGGAGCCTAGTCGCTGGAGCAGGAGCCGGGAGCAGGAGCCCGGACCAAGCACCGGAACCAAGAGGCCCGAGCCGAGATCTGTGGCTCTTTTTAAAAGAGAAATATACCACACCCCAGTGGACTGGTATTTCAGCGGCTATTGGCTGACGGAGCGGAAGGCCCTCCCGCAGCACTGTGGGCTCGTGCTTCAGCGACTATTGGCTGGGTATTTTCCTTTGTTAAAAAAAAAAAAAAGAGGGAAATGATGCGGGAGAATTGTCTGTATTCTGTCAATCATATTTTAATAAAACACTGATTGGCCAGGCAGGCAGTATAGGCGGGAACACCAGACAGGAAGTAGAGGTGATGCAATGAGAACAGGAGAATTCTGGGAAGCAGGGAGGTTCCCCTTAGTCATTCCTGCGAAGACCACTGAAGAGGCAGCATGGAACCTGCCCTGCTGAGAAAGGTACGGAGCCATGTGCTAATATAGATAAGGATAATGGGGTAACATAAGTTATAAGAGCTAATAAGAAGCCTGACCTAATGGGCCAATCAGTTTATAATCTTATGGAGTCTTGTGTGTGATTTTCCTTTGGGGCTTGCCGGCTGTGGGGTACTGGGCGGGACAGATACCCCAACAAGCCGGCCCCCTCATGTTACATAATGATATGAAAACCAGAAGCAATTATTATCTTAAGCTATTATACTCACCTCTCTGACTTATTCTATTTATTTTAGCTATTTTGTTATGTTTACCAAATAGCCTCTAACTTTAAAGTCACAAAATAAGCAAGACATTTCTTTACTCCAGTTCAGCTGTCTTGGACACAATGCTTACCATGTAAGAAGCTGCCATCTTCGTTCACTACAGACCAAATGAATACTGTTTGCTTCATAGCTCTAGAATCTTAGAATCTGGATGGTGTATTTGAGTCATAAAATCCATCAGATGGGAGTACACAAGACATTAATGTAAATACATCTAAAAAGGCAAGGACTCAAAAAATAGAACAGTGACTATAGGCCAGAAGCCACTGATGTATTCATAAAGAAAAGCTTCATGACT